TAAAATATAACATAACAAAGAAATTTTAAAACCAATTGATAGAAATGTAAAAGCCAATTAGCAACAATAATAAATTTACTAAAATTTTCACAAAAAAAAAGAATTTTGGTGACATCACTACCTAATTAATTAATTGATAATAAGTAATAAATAAAATAGTTGAACAACTTTAAAACCAATTTATAGGAATGTAAAAGTTAATTTGTAACAATAATTGTTATTTTTTCACAAAAAAATGATTTTTGGTGACGTTTAAAAGCTTTTCACAAAAAACACTTTTTGTGACATTTAAAAACAAACGTCATTGGAAACGCTTTGCACAATTTGGCAAGGAAGGCCAATGGTGGCGGGAAGTGCCATTTTCTAATGTTTGACCTAAACATCACTATAAATGACAACAAATATAAAAAAAAAAAAAGTGGTTTTTTCACGATGTTTACGTTTAACGTCAAAAATAAATAAATTTCGGTACTTCACAAATATAACATCGCTAGAAGCCCTTTTTCTTGTAGTGCTACTTCCTGCAAAAAAAAATCAATCATTAAGGCTATATTTGGCATTAATGTTGTTTTCTTAGAAAATGGCCACGCCTTGGAATTTGGTAAAATTATTATGGGTTCTATGCATTTTTATATTGATATTTGGTTTCATTTAGGTGCCATTAAGCACACATAGGCAAGCAAAAAAGTGAACATGTTATCTCCATTGCAAGAAACACCAAAATGACATTTTCTCCACAAGTGATTGTCATAAAACCAAATACATACAGTGTTGCTCGAAATGGCTTCAAAACATTGAACCAAACAAAAAAAATAAAATAAAATAAAAGTGTGGGATAAAACAAAACAACTGTCCATTTAATAATATGGAAATGCCATTAATCATTTTTTGCCCAAAACTTGGTGTTCAGGTACTAATTCTTTGGAGTAGTTTAAAATTTAAAAATAACAAACTCAATAAAAGATTTCGAGAAAGAGAAGGAAATAGAGTGGTTTAGCAAATGCTATATCTTCAATATGTAACTCAACGATGAGTTTTCCTGTGACACAGAAGCGTAAAAATCCAACTACCTAGGGAGTTGTGATTGTAATGAAGCAAGACAAAGACAAAAAATTGTGTGCACTCCACTCCGTTACCTCCAAGCTAGTAACATCCCCTATAGCCTGTAGTGATTCTAGTGAACACATTCCCTTCAATTCATAGTTACTTTGGCATAATATATGTTAGGGGGATCAATATGTGTACAATGTATCTACATGAACAAGAGACCACAAAGATGGAGATTGAAGAGCGGAGGATGGAGACCCCAATCTGTTGAAGATGCCAAAGAAAATTGATTTTACTCACATGTTTTTTTGCTTTTTGTTTTTCTTTTATTTTGGATTTTTTATTCTTCTTGTACACAATGATGCTTATTATTTGTATTCATGTAATTGCATGTACCCACCAATCGAAATGAGCATTAATTCAATCCAAAGATATGGGTCATTGAAGTGGTATGTTTAACTACTAATACAAAGTAAATTGTTTTTTCTTGTTGTTTATTTCAAAAACATATTAAAAGGTTAAAATCATTTGATTTGAAAATAAACTGTTTCTTAAAATAAAAACATAAAAAAAATATGTTATTGGATGTGTTTGTATTTTTTGTTTTTCAAATTAAAAAAAAAATGTTCTTGAATTTTTAGTTTCAAATACATGTTTTCATCTTGTTATTTAATATCATGTTCCATAAATCATATAATTTCTTCACTACAATATTTATTTTTGTTTTAAAAACTGCTATTTTGACGATTCCAAAAGCATATATTGTTTTTTAAACAAAACCAACTTATTTTTATTTTTTTCTGCTAATATATGACGATTTCAAAAATTAATGAAAACAAAAGACATTCTTGTTATAGAATACTCCCTACATTATTAAGAAAATCAAAACCCTAAAAATGATATCTTATGAGTTATATTAATGGACTAATATTCTTACCCATCTAAGTGATAGTATAGAGTATAGACATGGTAAGAAGTAAGAACATGTAACCTCTACTGATTATCAAAATCATTGCCATCTATCTCTAGACTGTCACTATTATGATTAGTTTACTAATTGCATCTTTCAATTCACTTTTCTTCACTACCACCAATTTCAACCATTCAATAATATATCATGATTTAAACACAAAAAAGGGAAACTTCACTTACCCCCACTTAATAAATTATAATTTCACCATACAATTGGGGAATTGATGTCAATACAAGAGGGTATTAGTGTTTAGGTGGAGGTGTTGGAAATTTTGAATTGTTGTAAATATATGGTGGAGTTAAAATTTCTCTCGTAGATTTCAAAGAGGTTTTCCCAAAACAGAAAAAAATGATATATCATGATTTCAGTCATTAGGCTTCTCTAACACCATTATCCTCAATTATGATGCCACCCTCATTTAGGGATGTCAATGGGTTAGGTTTAGCATAGTTTTATTCAACCCGAATGTAACCCAATGTAACTTCTACAAATACATGTTTTAGAAAGTATGTAGCATGCCAGACGTGCAAAAAGTACTAAGTGTCAAAATCCAACTTGATGCTTTTCATGCTTTTTAAAAGTAAGGAACACCCCATTCAAATGTGAAAAGTATGAAAGTACTTTAGAAAAATACAATCAAACAGGGCAGAGGCAGAGCCAAGTATATTGGGGGGGGGGGGGGTCCTTGGCCCCCCAAACTTTTTGTTAAAGCCATCATTTATATAGCTAATAAGTGGAGGCTTAATTAAAAGGATAAATTTCTTAAACTACCCTTATGGTTTAACTAATTGACTAACTGTACTCTTACTGTTTGAAAATTGACTGACGCTACCTTACTATTTCTGACAATTGTCTAAACATTACCAGGACTGCTAAACATGGACGGAAAAATGTAAATTGATTGTTTTACCCTTAAACTCAACCAGATGGAGCCACCGGAGAGATCGATGGCAGTAGAGATCTGAGAGAAAAAAACAATCTCTTGTATTGTTTCTAATCTGAATCCAAATTTGAGATAACCCCGATGAGAGCCATTGGAAAAATCGACGGTAGCAGTGATTTGAGAGAAAAAACTAGTCTAGAGATCTCCAGACAAATATTAGACTGAGTGGGTATTTATAGGACAAAGGAAAAGAAAATGTGGGATCTAAGATAATCCAAATTGCCGCTGCTAAGAGTTGTAGCGGCGATGAGAGCTACCGAAGAAATCTCCTACAAATACTAGTTTGAGCGGGTATTTATAAGACAACGGAAAAGAAAAGATGGGATCTGAGATAACCCAAATCACCACTACTAAGAGTTGCATCAGCAATGGTAGGGGAGGATAAACAAGGGAGGTGAGGTTGAAGAAGAAGGGGAAAGAGAGAGAGAGAGAGAGAGAGAGAGAGAAGATGGGTCTAGGACTTGCAGCATTAGTGCAATCTCCCTCCCTTTGATTAGCTCGTTGAGAAAAGCCTTAAGCTTGAGGTTGTGTATGGTTTGTTGCTGAAGTTTCAATAGGCATTAGCTTTATTTGAGAGACAATATATCTTCAGCAGGCCTACTAAAGTTGTCGATGGTTTGTTGCTGAATCCTGAAGTTATATTCATAGGAAAGAAAACGAAAATGGGGTTTTGGGAATGAAGAAAAATAAGGAATAGAGGGAGAATTCTAGCTTCGAAGACTGAAAAGATAATAGAAGATGGAGTTTTGGCAAGTTAGGGAGGGATTCGGGGAGAATGGGTCAGATCTCGTATGGCATTCTGAATAACATAAGTCAAGCGGATGCTGCTTGGTTGAGGTCTTATTACATCGAAACTTAGAAGGAGCAGAACAAGCACACATTATGGTGGTTGTGGCCATGGTATCTGTAGCAAATGCTGCCATTGCAATTGTGCAGGTGGTGGTGGCTGTTGTGAGGCTTACAAGTCAAGGCAGAGGGACAAGATTTGGTGGTGGGCGGGAAAGGTGAGTCACGATAAAGATTCAGACTGTTTTCTAGGGATATTTGGTAACTGTGCTTTTGATCTTTACCTATTTTGTCTGGTTTGTCATCTTTTCTTTCTTTCTTATCTGGATATCGATCTTTCCCTATTTCGTCTGATGTCTTTGTGGTTTTTGGATATCAGCCTTTCAAGGATTTGGAAATTTGTATGTAGCTAGAAGCCTAGCAAATGTTCCTTGTATTTATCCCAAACTAAAAAGGGTATTTGAAGGAAAGGAGGAGAGCCCTTCCCTGCTCTTCGCAATGAATAGGAATTATAAGAACAGAAAGGGGAGCTGATCGACTAAGGGTGTGCATTCCACAAATCAAAGTAATGGGGGATTTTCAAAGATTTCTTGATTTTTAAGAGGAAATCTCCTCCGACCATAGGTAAGAGAGAAGACACCGGAGGTTTGAGGAAGAAGGGGTTATTGGTCAGAGGAAGGGGATGAGGGAGGGGGTAATTTAAAAGAAGTTTAAACGTCATGTGATCTCATGTGTATGCGGGTTTTGACAGAATATTAACGGATGTTAACGGTAAGAGTAGAGTTAGTCAATTATCAGAAACAAAACAATAAGATAACATCAATCAATTTTCAAACAATAAGGATATACTTAGTCAATTAGCTAAAGCTAAACCATAAGGGTAATTTTAGAAATTTACATAGTAAAATGAGTCCTTGACCCCCAAGGACTTGAACCGAAATTTTGAAGATCACACTCTAACACTCCAACTCCCAAAATAAAAAAAAAAAGTTATTTTTTTTCTTTAAAAAAATCTGTGTTAGACCCAAAACCTTCCCACCTCATTTATCTTGAAACTTTACCTCTTCTACTTCTTATTTTATTTTATTGTTTAACTTGACCCCCAAAAAGAAAATTCATGGCTCAGCCACTGAAACAGGGCCTTAGTTGCTTGTTTACTTTTGATTCATTTACCCAAAAAAGAAAAAAAACACCCTGCAACTCTCCAAGTGTCACAAAAGAATAGATATTACAGGAGGGGGAGGTTCAATTAAGTGGACTGGGATGGATCCGTATTCAATCCAATTATATACCCGGTAGAATTTGGATTGCTTTAGATCCGATTTGAACGGCAACACCGGCAAAGTACGTAACGGGTAAGAAGAGGCGAGCGGACGTAGGCCGGAGGGACATGTTATATTTTCTCTGTGCTTTAATGAAAGAGGGAGTTCTGCATCGTTCTTTGTCTTGGTCGAAAAGCTGAAATTGTAGAGGAAACAGCTATGAGGGGCGTGGGACGATTGCTTACACGAGTCGTTAGAGGAAGACCAGAGCTTAACGGAGAAAATAAAACTCTGTTTCTCCATCGCGGCCTCTTCTTTGCTTCTTCAACAGCCACAACTCCCTTCCAGCGAAATCAGAACAGCTATAGTACTTCCAGTCTATTGAAACTCTCACCAATTCCAGCTCTTATCTCTACGAAATGGAGTGTTTTTGGAGGTTGGTTTTCTATTTCATATTCTTCCCTTTCCACGTTTCCTTTATTTTGACTGTTTTTTGTTGCGAATTCATTTGGGATTTTGACATTTAGGGCGTTCGGACTTTTCCTACCAGAGTTTTCCTCTTGTGTGTTCCTTTTTTTGTTTTCGTTTTTCTTGAGTTGTTGCATTGATTTTTGATATATTGGGGGAACTTTTCTTTTTATACTGGTTGAAGGTTCTAATTATTGAAGCTGGCAGGCTGTAGAAAGAAAAAGAATATCATTCTAACCGATTAGGAAATTTTTGTTTAGTAACTTGCAACCATTAGACAAGTTTGTAGGTCAAGTAGAACATAGTGGAGCTGCAAATGAGATATCAAAGAAGTTGGAATTTTTGGTGAATATTTTAGCAGTTATAGGAATGATAATAATAATAACAGGAGTAGAACTATATTTTGTTTCACAGTTTTTGGACAAACAGATGAAATAAGAACAAAAAGAGAGCGACTAGTAAGTTTGGCACTTTAGTTTGGCAAACTAATTTGAATGTTGAAACTGTATCTACTTTAGTTTGGCAAGAATAGATGTTGGGTGCCCTCTTTCCCAAGTTTGATTATTTTTGGATTGTTAAGATTATTTAAGGGGAAATATTACATTTATGGAGACATTGGCGATGAAGGAAAAAGACAATCCTCCATGCAGATGAGAAATGTCCCAAACAAACACTCATTTAGCTGGGAGATGAGTTTCCTTTTACACGTTCTATACTCTCCCTGCCAGGGTCAAAAGAAAAGAAATTAAAGAGAAAACTGTATTCTGCATTTTCTGAGACTCCCTCAGTTTACTAGTTAAATAGTGGAATTAAATAGAAGTACCATGGATTGTGGTTTTAAGTTTTTGACATCTTATATCTATATACTTCAGATTACTGTCTGTTTCTTCCGTTGGTATGTTTGTGGAGATTCTATTTGTTAATAAAATAGACAAATTTTCATATAAGTTGAGGACTTTGTTTCTTTAGAAATATAAGCTACAAACTGTTTTTCATATATGCATCCTGATTTGCACAGGGCAGAGGAGGAACGTGTTCATTCAGACCCTGTCAACACCAAACCCTTCCTCTCTCATGTTCTATCCTGGCAAGCCTGTTATGGAAGTTGGGAGTGCAGACTTTCCCAATGCTCGTTCAGCCATGAATTCTCCATTAGCAAAAGCCCTATATGGCATTGATGGTATGTCTCCCATACTTTTTTTTTTTTTTTTTGAGATGACATGACACTTTTATTAGGACAGAAACCAGACAATGAAAAATGATAATGACAAATCATAAGAAATAATAATACCAGGGAGAGGCTCCTATAATAGCATGCTTATCCATACTTTCAATCTTCATGTTGCCTAATTAGGTTTGGCCAATGAATGCAGGCTATGTTTTCCAGTGGAACATATCTGCATTTCATTATTGTTTTCCCTTAATTTTCTTGCTAATTTAGTTTTATTCTAAATCCTTTTAAATGTTGAGTGTATAGTGGATCAAAAGGAATGAGATGGTTGCACTAAAGACCGCCATTATACAATCATTGCCTTGATTTATCCTCCTTGGCTAGAGAATCAGTCTATGGTTGTGTTCTGTAACTAACATCTCAATGCAATCCAAAACTTTTATCCACACAATTCGCAGACCTCAAGAGTTCTTCTGCCTGAGCTGAAGATCCATTGGAGTATAGCATTGAGGAAAAATTTCAAGCCAGTAAGTAGAGTGTATACTTCACTTTTATTAGAGTTTTTATGATCAGTGTGCCTAAAGGATGCCAAATGAGTATTCGATCTCATCAAGATACAAATACCCTGTATCTGGTGGACCTGGATTGATAGGAGAAAACCTGTTGAAGTTCATTTAAATCCACCTTACTCTGGCTACTAACCACCTCGTCATTTTCCTATCAACTAAATATCTGCATTCACTAGTAGATCGTATGCATCCAAATAAACATTAGCTCTAAGCCTTGAATTCCTAAAGGATAGGATTTGTATAATCTTCATCTGGATGCATGGGGACAGTTCAGCAGTAAACAGTGCCTTTACCTGAACCATCTTTAGATTACTTTTCCCTAAGACAAAGCTGGAGGCCAAGCATACCATGGAATCTTTCTTAATGCTTCAAAAACATCAGTGATCGATCCTCTAGTGAGAGATCAAGAATTTTGCCCGGTAGAGTTTATGGCACACTTAATAGGGAGAAAAATCTCCACTAAAATTTCCTAACAATGGGGAGTAAATAAAGAGGTTCTTTTTATCTACCTGCTTCATCATTATAATCATCTAAGCCTCGTTCCAATTATGTGGGGTTGGCTACATGAAGCCTGTTTTGCCATTCCCTTCTGTTTGGTGCCATTATCCATTGTTAAATTATAGGAACTTAAATCACTTATTTATCCCTAACTCTTGTAGCCCCTTCAACTTGTAACAAATAACTTCTTCTAATGGGATATTAGTAAGTTGATAGTAGATTAGGTTTTGATTTTGCTGGATTTTTCACAGTTTCCAGATCAGAATTTGGGGATCGGTTTTGGGAGGTTTTAGAAATGCTGAATTCTGTTCCATTGCTTAGTTTTCAAGGCACCAAGATGAAGCTAGGCGATAGGGGGGTGTCTTGTTGCTTTGTTTACTAGGCAGACGCCTAGGTAATGGATTTTTTTTTTTTAATTTGAAAACATATATCCTAGGGTAGTTCCCTAGGTTCCATAACCATATTGCCTTAATAATTATCCATAATTTTCATATGAGAAGTATAAACTTCATGTTAAAGTATAGAAAATCAACATATTCCAACATATTCAATATGTATATATTTTTTAAAAACCACAGATGGGCCACTCATTGCAAGAGCCAAAAACACTTGGCCTTACACCAAAGCGAGAAACAAAAACCAAACCACAACAGCCAACCATGAGAAAGACCTTACAAGAAACCCCTAAAAAAACCTGGGCCAGCATCCCTCACCCAAGCCCAAAAGACTAAGAGAGAGAACAGACTGTGAGCTTTAAGAGGCAACCTTTCTTCCCCTACCTCCCCTACCTCTACCATTCGTGCTGCAAGCACCTTTACCATTTGGGTGCACCACCACATCTTCATAGGACTCTGCCAACCACTTTGATTTCTTGCAACTGGAAGGCTATCTATGTTATCCAAAGATCATTCTGAATCAGTATCACTCAGTTGCTAGAAACTCTTGTTCCCTCACCAAGTTCTTACTAATAGGATTATCTACTAAACGGTCTGCCAAACATGATTTGAGAAAAACATGATTGTTTTTTTCTCCATTAGGAAAAGTGACGCCCAATAATTTAACAAAATTCATGAGGCTATCTATCTGCTCACTAGAAGAGAGCACACCACCAGCCTTGTCCACAACCAGTGGGGTTGCTGCATAAGCCTGATGTTCACCGAAACGGATGTTGTGCTCACACCTATTACAGGCCTCCGTCTTAACAGACACCTCCATGTTAACCGAGGAGGCATCATTCTTCTGAGTAACAAGATTAATAAAAGCAGATCCAGAGTCCAGACAACAACTTCTAAGTAGAGCTATCAATTCCTTTGCTGACGGATGCTTGTAGAAAATTTTAAATCCAACTGGTTAAGAGACCCTTTGGATTAGCTTAGAGCCTTTACACCAAGAAGCTGGGCCTTATCCTTCTTAGGGCCCAAATCATGATTTAGCCTTTTCCAAATGGAGGTGAGAGGAACAACCAAGTTAGTCCTGCCAAAATTTGAAGTGGATCAACAATTCGAACTAGATCTAGATTCCGACCTACACCCAAAACCTTGAAAAAATTGCATCTCTTTCACCTATGGCTCAACAGGTGGGTCAACAAATGAACTCAAAAAGGAGGCTGATTTGAAATTCAAATTTGAGCCAGAAATTCCTGCTTCCAAGCCTTGACTGCCTGCTACCACCTCCGTCAGATCATCATTGGTTCCAGTGGTAACATCAGCCTTCAAAAACTGCAACTCAGGAGTTGTTGACAAAACATTCTAGTTTCTATTACTGGTTCCCGCCAAAGTCATAGCTCCACCCCTGGGATGTCCAAGATGCAGAGGTGAGCAACGACATCTCTGCTTGTACCTGCATCCATTTCTCTTTTGCTGATCTTCACTTTGAGGTGTCGCAAATACCTCAGGCTCATTCAGTGGTTCCAATTCTAATTGCTGCGAAACCGACCTCAATAGTTTTGGCTGCCACACTCCTAAAGAGCAAGCAAACATGGGTCTAATCAGTGAGACTACAACGCTTTTGACTACTACCCTTACCGCAAAGCGAGTACCTTTGACAATTATTTCTACTATCTTTGGGATTTTAGCAGGGGATCTGCACCAGATTTACAGCTGCACACAGTCTAACCGAATCCAGTCTAGATTGGCCAAGTCCACCAGGATAAAGCCTCCCAAGGCATTCCCTACCTCCTTGTGCGTTGCTTGAGACCAAGCATGTAGGGGAAGGCCAGATAGGAGAACTGGAGAACCCACCGACTTTACTTTTCTGTATTCTGAACTTCACCGACCCTAGGATCCCATCTCCACAATAATAGGGGGATGCCCATTAAAAGACTTTTTACCTGAGTGTAAAGCTCCCAAAGCTCTCAACTCTGAGTAGAAAAAGATCAGAGACCTATTTCCTTCAAGCCTCCTTGCTGTAGGTCTTGTTTGATACCCCCAAACTTTCTTAGCCCACCTTTCAACTTCACCGAAGTTCGGGCAGTGATCACCAAAAGACACAATCAAGCAATGTTTTGGAAACAGTTATTGATCAATAACACCTGTTGCTCTGGGTATTTGATATTCCATTTTGGGATTTCTATCCTTAGTTCATTTCCCTATGAGATTTTTGGATGATAGTTAGGGGCTAAGAAATTGGTGGTTTGAGATGTAGAGTTATTTGGAAGATCATTCCACATGTCACTTTTTGGGGCCTGTTGAAGGGAACATCCAAGATTTTGATAATAAGTCCATCTCCTTGCCGATTTTTAAAGACGGGAATACCTATTTATGGATCTCTTTGCTGGAGGACTGTATTACCTCAGTGGTAGTGGCATGTCTTCTCAAGCTACTTTATAGACTTTCATTACTCCCTTTTAGTAGCATTGTCAACTTGGTTATCCATCCCTTGAGAAGTTGAAGTTGCTGGCTCCTACTCTTCAGAAATAGTCACTTTCATGTCAATTAAGCAAGCAGCATATAGTCACTTTCAGTCCTAGAGTCAATTGTCTTGTTTCTAGTCCTATTGTTCTTGTTCATTCAGATGTTTGGGATCTAATAAAATTGAGTCACACAATGGATACATGTATTTTGGCATTTCTATTAAAACATTGATATTTGATGATAGTCATGATTATCTTTTTCACTCCTTTTTAAGATTTTTGTGCTCATAATGGCATATCCATTAGACATCTTGTAGATATAACCCTCAACAGAACGGTGTGGCAAAGAGAAAGAATTACCACTTGCTGGATAATGCTAGGGAACTTTTATTGTATATGAATGTTCTAAAAAGGTAAGTTGAAAATTACACCTACAGTAATTCAGATAATGCAAGAAAAGAAGAAAAGAGAGAAAGAGAAAGAAGAAGAAAAGAAGTTTCAGCAATAGGTTGTGGAAGAAGAAAAGAAGGGAAGAGAGAAAAGAAGAATTCGAACCTCTCTCTAGCCCCCTTTCATCACTTTTATTAATAATTCTAAGTCTGAGTACAGTTACTTGGATGCCCTTAATGGGGTGGCCAACATTAAAAAAAATAAAAGAAGGCCCATAAGTCCCATAACTAAGAAACATAATTTTTAAACACTACTTAAAAGAAATAAAGAACACTAGGACCCATTCGGCCCATTCTCACTACAAGGTATTGGAGTGATGTTCTTACTAGTTTCTTGATTAACAGAATGCCTTCTTCCATTTTCAGTGATATTTTTTTAAAGGAAAGATAAAATTGTATTAATAAGTTGTGGGTCCCACCTGCAATAATCTGAAATAAAGAAAAGAAAAAACAGAAGAGAAGAAGAAGATTGAAGATGGAAGAGAGAAAAGTAACGGACGGAGAAGATGGAAGCAAGGGAAGGAAGAAGAGAGAGTAGTTCGATCCTCTCTTCAGCCCCTAATAATATCTTTTTTTGATATCTTTTGAAGGGCTACACAACAGGGGGTAGCCCATCCCCCAACACATAACCCCCCAAACCCA